CCTGCACCTACCATGAATCTCTTCACCTCTTTGAGGGTTCTCCTGAGATTTTAACTCTTCTGAGATCATGGTATGCCATGATACATAGGCATGTTAGCAGCACCCAAAGAAAATTGAAACAAAAGGGGCTTTTGGTAGGGAGAAAATTGGGATCATTGAAAATATTGTAGTTTCCTAAGTAGGATCCTTTCCAGTCTTCTCTTCAACTCTGGGCCTTGCTCATTGTCCGTCTGATGAAAAAGAGAGAAGAGAGTGCTAAGAATTGATCCATGAATATTTAAATACTTAAAAAAGTATTTGCAAAAAGATTGCAAAAGTATCAGCAGCGCACTTGTGTGTGTTACCTTAAGCTTCGGAAACTAAGCTGAATTTCCTTTTGATGTTATCTTTAAGGTTTTAAAAATTAAGAGGATTCTGACTCAGATTTGCCTCTTTTATATGGTGAGAAAAAACGTGGTTAATAACATGTTTGTTCATATTTATTTTCGCAGCCTTGTACCTAGATAAATCTAAGTGAAATGTTTGTCTGCTTGAAGCCTCTCCATATTAGCTTGTCATTCCAGCGTCTGGTTCATGCTCTTGCCTATTGTAGGCAAGGTTCCTTAAGACTCAAAAAACATGGCCATCTCAGGAACCATCTGCACACAACCAGGGCAGTCTCTTCAGAAAGAATCACTCCCGTGTTCACCAGAGCTTTGGCATATGGCGACAAACTTGCCCTAGTTGACCACCGTGGACAGTACACATACAAAGACCTTTACTATAGAAGTCTTCGCTTGTCCCAGGAAATATGCAAGATTTACAACTGTCCCAGTGGAGACATTAAGGAAGAAAGGATTTCCTTCATCTGCTCCAATGATGTGTCTTATGTCATTGCCCAGTGGGCATCCTGGATGAGTGGAGGAATTGCTGTTCCTCTGTATAAGAAGCATCCAGCATCTGAGCTGGAGTATGTCATTCAGGACTCCCAGAGCTCTTTGGTCATTGCTGGCCATGAGTATGTGGATCTTCTAAAGCCCATTGTTAACAAGATAGGGGTGTCGTTTTTGCCCCTTACATCCACAGTCTATGACAGAGAAGCTGATGGACTAACCCAAGGGCATGCTTCCCATTTAGAGTGGAAAGATAGAGGGGCCATGATCATCTACACAAGTGGGACGACAGGAAGACCCAAAGGGGTCCTAAGTACGCATCAGAATCTAAAAGCAGTGGTGAGTTGACTTGTTTGTGTTGTTGCTATAGTATCTGCCCCTGATGGGAAATGGTCGGGAGAGGGTTTGGGATTAGCCAATTATTGTCTTAGAGTTCCCTGGCTTAGACTATGGATTTATGAGCTAATAACCTGAGGTCAAATTTGGAGGTCCATTCATTTAATTTTCTGTAGGATGACTATAAAGGTACCACTGTTTTAGCTGAATTACTGTTGTTGTTCAGTCGTGTCTGACTCTTTGTGACCCCAGTGGGGATTCTCTTGGCAAAGATGCTAGAGTGGTCTGCCATTTCCTTCTGCAGCTCATTTTATAGATGAAAAAACTGAAGCAGACAGGGTGAAGTGACTTGCCCAGGGTCGCACAGCTAGTAAGTATCTGAGGCCACATTTGAACTCAGATCTTTCTGACTCTAAGCCTGGCATGCGATCCACTGCCCCTTCTAGCTGCTCCCTTAGCTGAATTAGATCTTGACCAATTTGAATCATGTCTTAAAGATCACGTGTCATTTAGCTGAATAATCTCTTCTCTTCCTACACGATTGCTGGTGATCTTCTTTAAGCACAGATCTGAACAGGTCACTCCCCCACTCCATAAATTCCAGTGGCTTTCTTTTTTCTCTAGGACAAAATACAGACTCCTCTGTCTGACTTTTAAATCTGTTCACAACCTGGCCCCAACCTATCCTATCAGCCTCATTGCACATTACCCACATGTCTGCATTCTCTGGTCCGACCAACTTGTTCTTCTCTCTGTTCCTCATATATGGTGCACCACCCCCAGATCTTTGCCTTTGCGCTGGCCATCCTGCATGCCACCCTCAACCTGAAAGAATCCCTCTCTTCCATGAGGGTGCAGCTCAGGCATCACCTTCTAAATGAAGCCTTTCCTGATCCCCTCAACTGCTCGTGCCTTCCCAACACCAAATTTACTTGTACCGATTTTGTCTAGGTCTATATTTGTACATGTTGTCTCCTTGAGAGAAGGGATTGTTTTGTGTTTGTCCTCATTTCCTCACAAACTAACCCAGTGCCTGGCACATTCATGTTAATAAATAATATATGCTTCCTAATAGATTAAAAGATACAGTCATGTATCATTTTTTATTAACAAATAATATCATTTTGGAAGATAAATAAAGTAAAATGATTAAGGCAATAAATGCATTAAGTGGCAGAAACATATTTTAAATGGGAGGCAGTGTAGAAAGAGTACTGAGTTTGGAGTCAAGAACACCTGAGTTCAAATCCTATCTCTGGTCTTTATTAGCCTTATGACTCCCTGGGTACCATTTTCCTCATCTATAAAATGAAAGGTTGGTTTAGATAGCCGTTGAAGTTTCTTCCAGCTCTAACATTTCTCGTTTTTGTGTATTTTTTTAAGGATATATTTTAAATTAAATCATCATTCTCTCTTTAATCATTTTTGGTGACCATTTCTCTGGAAACTTGTTTATTACACAATAAGTGTATTTCAGATTAAAAGGCTGACAATCATTAGTAGCTTTAGATAGGGGGTAGCTCCATTAACCAGGAGCTTTCTTTATTTAAGTCACAGCAGTGCTTCCTGGTGTCTGCCTGTCATTCATCGCACTCCAAGGCCTTGTTTGTGTTTCCTTCCAGATAACAGGGCTTGTTGACAAATGGGCATGGAAAAAAGATGATGTGATCCTTCACGTCCTTCCATTGCACCACGTCCACGGCGTGGTCAACAAGTTGCTTTGTCCCCTCTGGGTGGGAGCTACCTGTGTCATGCTGCCTGAATTCAATGCCAAAGTGGTAAGTCTGATGACATTGGAGATTGGCCCGGGAAAAATCTTCAGCATCTGCCTGTTTTGTTTGGTTTCACAGCCCACAAGAGTCAGATGATATTCTGACTTATCAAATTCACAGCTGTGTTGCCAGCTCTTGTATGTGAATTATTTGGGGGGGGGGTGTCCTCCTTCTTTCCTTGTTTTCTACCTCTTGGGCATTTTGCAACTTTTTAACATTTCTTGCAGAAAATGAGCAAGATCAAACAGAGGAGAGAAGATCCCAATTAGCATTTTTACCAGCATGCGGCGTTGGGGTGTAGTCGGTTGACTTGGAGTCAGGAAGACTTGGGTTCAAACCCTCCCTCAGATACTTGCTAGCTATTCAACCCTGGGCCAGTGACCTAATCGCCCTGAGCCTCAGTTTCCTCATCTGTAAAATGAAAAGTTGTCCTTGGTGGCCCCTGAGGTCCCTTTTAGCTTTAAATCTACAATCTGGGATTCTGTGGTCTGTGACGTCTTCCCATTAATTGTGATGCCTGGTCGAGGGACAGATTGTTGAGGGTTCACGTGAGGGTTTAGTATTTGTCCGTGGGCAGCAAGAGCCCTGGTTGTGCAATCCCAGGATCTGGATTCCAGTCTTGGCTTTTTTACATATTTCTTATGTGACTTTGAGTCACAGCCTCAGTTTACTCACCTGTAAGTGAGTGAGCATGGACTAAAGGACCAGTAATGTCTTCTACCTCTAAATCTGTGATGCTTCGAGCCTCTCACTTCCTCACACTATCCCTGTCCTTCATCACACAAAACTGATAGTTCTCCAATGACGCTCTGTATGGATTTGGTTGGAGTATCCAATGAGATGTACCCTATAGGTCTTCGAGTCTGTGCCTTCCCAAGTGAGGCTGGGACGCTGACCAGAGTAGCTGAGTATTCTGTCCAGTAAAGTAGATTGCACTTACCAGCACAAATGGCCCTAAAGAACATTTATGTTATGTTAAGAGGATCCTGTTTTCTGATTGATTTGCATCGTAATGTTGTTGTACCACTTCGAAAGAGGTTTTTCCATGTTTATGGAAAAACATTTTTAAAGAAAAATATTAATTTTATGACCAAACATTAATAGCAGTTCTCAGAATAAATCACAAAATGCAAAAATTATCTCATCTTGACATTTCTAACAAATATTATACCTAAAACTCTATTGGCATTTGGCTAAATTGATGTATGCCAAAGAGGCCTCTGAGGCTGCTTGTCTCTTTAAAGATTGTCTACCAGGGAAGGACATCTCTGCTTCCTACTTGCACTTAGTACAAGGCCTGGCACATAGTAGGCACTTAAGTGCTTGTTGGCTTGATTGGACTTGACATCCTATAAGGAGAAGGTAGATTTCTCTGTCCAAAGTGAGTTTTCTCTTTAAAAATATAAAAACTGTTACTTATTTTTTTTGTTGTTGTGCTTCTGTTGTGTCTGGCTCATGGTGATCCCATGTGGAATTTTCTTGTCAAAGATATTGGAATGGTTTGCCATTTCCTTCTCCAGCTCGTTTTACAGATGAGGAAACTGAGGCAAACAGGGTGAAGTGACTTGCCCAGGGTCACACAGCTAGGAAGTGTCTGAGGCTAGTCATCTTGGTTCCAGGCCTACGCCCTATCCAGCTGCCCCATTTATTTTGTTAGGAGATTAAAAAAGAAAAAACAGAACCACTAGGATTTCTTACATGGCTTATTTGAAGAGGCCTGATTTACTTTATATGTCCTCCTTCACCGTGAGGATCATCTCTCCTGGGGAGGATTTGCCCCATGACCTTTTTTGTGGGATGCGTGAGTTTCGTCACATCTTTTTGATATGACTCTTCTCCTAGCAGTGCTAGATAACTATGAATTATGGAATACCATAAAGCTCACAAGAACCAAAAATTACAGATAATCCAAAGGACAATGAATGATATCATGTTAGGCACCAGTGATTCAAAGGGTAATGAATGAATGACATCATAATGGGGGCCTGTGATTCAGAGGGCGATGAATGATGTCATGTTGGTGCCAGTGATTCAAAGGTAAATGAATAACATCATGTTGGGCTCCAGTGATCCAGAGGGCAATGAATGACGTCATGTTGGGCGCTGGCGATCCAGGGGGTGATGGATGACATCATATTAGGCATCATTAGGCCGTATGTGATCCCAGTGGTAACTTGTGTGCTAGGATTGATGCAAAGATATCATCTAAGATGTTTGGATTTGGGCTGGATGTGAGCAAAAGTGAGGGATAATTGCTAGTCAGCTGCCCCAAAGTTATGTTGGTGTCACTGACATCTAAAAGACAGAGAGGCCTATGCCAGGTTGGATGGGTCTTCTTTGGAGAATTTATGGAAGGACATTGACAGCAATTGCATGGAAAAAGAAGGCATGAATGGAGGTGAGATCACCGTGAATTTTCTTAAAGTGTTTGTGTTGGAAAATTCATGGATCAGCAGAGGACTTACCTTTTTCTTTCTTTTTTTTTTTCCCCCTCACACCATTTATATAAAGAAAAAGCTAAAGGTCTTAAACCTTCTATTTGTGACCAAAAGCTTTGGTCCCCATCCCTGAACAGTGGGTAAAAATAAATCGTGCTCCAGTAAGGTTCATTTTAGAGAATATTGTCATTTTTCTTCATTTCATCAGACTACTCTGTTGAACAGTATACAGCGTTGCCCTTTCCCGGAGCTGTTTGTATGATAATCTTCATCATAATAACAACTCACATTTATATTGTTTGAAGGTTTGCAAAGCTCTTTGCTCACAGCAACCCTGTGATGTACCTTAGTGCCAGTATTATTATTCACATTTTATAAATGAGAAAATGGAGGTTCATAGAAATGAGTTGACCTTGACCTTGGTCACTTGGCTCATGAGTGTCAGAGCCTGTATTTGAAACTGGGTTTCCTGTGTCCAGTATTCATTCACAATTTGCCAACTGATCATCTCAGCTGTGTCTCAAATATGCTTTTTTTTTTTTTTTCAAATATGCTTTTTGAGAATGTCTGGAAACTATATACAGGTGTGCATAAAAGTCTCACCAAAGTCAACCAATGGTTTGTCTGTTTCTTGATGCCAGTGGAAATATTTTCCCTTTAAAAAAGCATACATTAAAATATTGCAAAACACATATACAGCAAATAAATATTGCCTTAACTATTAGGGATTTCTGAATATTTGAGATTCCAGCGCTCTCAATTCCCAACGCTTTTGATGTCTTACGTGAGCGCCGCCTTTCTGTCTCTTCCTACCATATTCCATCCTAGTGATGAGCCACTTCAGCCTAAATGATGTGTTGGAGTAATTAAGGGAGGGAAGAGGAAGTGTTAGCCTCAAAGATGAGATGGACCAAAACTGTATGCACACTTCCTTACGTCCTGTGGCATTTAGTGATTGATGGCCCCTTCCACACTCACGTTTCTCAGTGCTGCTCTCCCGACATCCTTGGATCAATGAGCTGACGTTGAGGAATGGATTCTGGAGGAGGGAGGGAAGAGGGGCACCTGAGGCTGCTCACAGCACTCAGCAGGGATTGACAGCTAAGGGCAAGAGAGGACAGCAATTGAGGACATTTTATATTGACCCTTAAAGCTGACCTTGTGCAGGTGAGGGTTTGCTGAGGAGCTGTTTGGGATGCAGATGCCACAGGCAGCTTGGTCCCCAGAGCTCTGCTGGGCTGTTGGGTCTCTGAAGGATGTAAATTGCCCTTTCCCCCCTCGCCTCCTCCCCCCCGGTTTTGAGGGCCTCCCCTGAGAGTAGAGTGGTTTGATTGGCACTACAAAGAAGCCCACAAGGGTAAATCAGACTTTCTTGTGTAATTTAATGCAAACTGCCTTTCAGTTTGAGCCTATTTTCACCAGCTGTTTACGGAATGCCCTTTGCTACTGAAATCGACTTTCAGAAAAGAAGCACAATTTCAATTGAGGTTTTCTCAGAAGGAGTGGGAGTTGTGCCACTTTAGGTTTTTCTCCCACTGCCCCTTAAGAAACCAGTCGATTAGAGTTTCATAAGAAAAGAAAAAAACCTGAATGGAAGCTAAATCACTTGACACGTGGACCAAAACAGGGTAAGGGGGCTAGCCCACTTCAGACACATATGGCCTTATGTGAAGGCGGATCAAGAGAGTCATGGTAAGTTGAGTCTTAATTTGTGGCATTTTACTGTATCAAATGAATCATTCATTATCATAAGCAAATATGGACGGCACAGGTCCAGATCTGATGTTTGCTTAGTGTCTGCGAGATCCTGCCAGGCCAAGCTACATTAACACCTATAAAGGTGGAGAAAATGAACTTAACAGGATGGTGTCCTTTGGAATGACATGTAGGACTTTGTGTTTCTAGATGAGTGCTGGTAGAATCAAATGCTAAACTATCCCAGGAAAATTAAAGATTAAAATGGAAGTAAGCATGGCCAGTTTTCCTCTTCCGTTAAGACAGATTTTCAGTCTGAAGGCTAGTATTTTCTGAACTTCAGTAGCCCAGGAAAGGTTACTGGTGGCCTTCACTGTCTCCTGTCACCTTTGCACCTGTCCCGTGAGTGTTCTTTTCTTTACACGTCTGGATGATGGGGGTCTGAACAAATAGCAGCGGTTGTGTGAGAAGGAATATGAGGAAAACACATCAGAAATGATGGTCTTTGTGTAATGCAAATTTTTTCTTTAGGCAATTGGGGTTAAGTGGCTTGCCCAGGGTCACACAGCTAGTAAGTGTCAAGTGTTTGGTCTGTGGCCGGATTTGAACTCAGGTCCTCCTGACTTCAGGGCCGTGCTCTATCCACTGCACCACCTAGCTGCCCCTGTCATGCAAATTCTTAACCTAAACATTTCCTTTTTTAAAAATAGTATTTAATTTTTTTCCCAATGACTTGTCAAGACAATTTTTAGCATTCATTTTTACAAGATTTTGAGTTCCAAATTTTTCTCCCTCTCTCCTTCCCCTCCCCTTTCTGAAACTGGTAGGCAATTTGATATAGGTTTTACATGTGCTATCATATAAAATGTATTT